CTCATTGGCTGAGTACTTCAGGTTCACAATCTTCTCGACACTTCACTAAACATGGAAACACTGGAAAATCATAAATTTTTGCTGCCTAAGCATAAATCTGTAGTTAATTAACTTATTCCACACCTGAATCATTATTTTGCAGATATCTGCTTGCCCTTCTTTACACAAAGATAAGCTTGGGAGAAAGACAGGGGAGTATCTTGGTGCCTGCCCATCGCATCCCAACCTTCTCACAGGGTGAGAGTTCGGCTTTGTGTAGAGGCCCAAGCTTCTTTAATGTTTGCTAAATCTGGTTTTCTTTTGCTGGGAGTTTCTTATCCTAACAGAACTCTACAATATGTTTTCTAATCCCTAACACTATACCTGCATTGTTTGGAACATTTAACAGCTATCACAACTTTGCAAGAAAGAATGAATCATATAATTCAGTAATGTTTCTAAAACATGCCGCTAATATATGTAGTATTTTACTTCTTAGATCAACTGTTTCTAAGGATACATTACAGAATACAAATGCATTATGTTCTACTTCTTCATGCCAATTGCTCTTTTTAATATCAAATGCAGAAACAACATTCCATTCCCACAACCCCCTCCAAGCACTGCAAGGCCACAATGAGGTCTCCTGGTGCCTTCTCCAAGCTAAACAAGCCCAGTTCCCTCAAGCTTTCCTCACAGGAGAGGTGCCCCAGCCCTCTGATCACCTTAGTGCCCTTACAGCTTTGTTAGTAGCACAGCAGCTTCTCTCAGACACGTGGTGCATTAGGGAAGTTGGATGGAAGTGACCTGAGGGCAGGCACTGGCCCTCTTTTTCTTCACCAGACCCCGATTCCACCACAGTGTGTGTGTGTGTGTCCCTAAACATGCTGACATGAGCATGTGTTCAATGTTCAGCAATGTAACATATGGAATTACACATGCTTTGCACAAAGATAAATGACTGAACAAGGAAGTAATTAACTAAAAACTTTTTTTACTTGTTACAGCGTGTATTTGTAGACTGAGGCTAATATAATCTCAGTTTTAGGGCGAGGGTACCTGAATGCAAATGCTGGCACCTGTGTGCTGCATGAAAACACTGAAATCCACTACCAGGAATACTGCTATCTCAGCTTTAGTTTTGGTTAACCACAGCAGGTGGCAGTGTGCACAAAATTAACTTAACACTCGCAGATGTGAGAGATGCTCGAACTAAACAAAACTTGGAACAGCACAGAATATGCTGCAGGAGAGCAGGGAACTAACATGTACCTTTGCTGGCAACTACTTGCAGCTTCTGTAAACTGGGCATGTTTAGAATGCAAAAGATAGGGAAACATCTGAAGAATATCAGACATTTATGTTTAATGGATTTGCAACAAGTCTTACCCAGCTGATCACAGAATCACAGAATTGTAGGGGTTGGAACGGACCTCCAGAAATCGTTGAGTCCAACTTCCCTGCCAAAGCAGGTTCCCTACACTCAGTACTCAGTAAAAAGGGGAAGATACATTATCTGCTTGTTTTCCTTTGTTCATCTGTTATCCTGTCTGCCTACACGACAGAACTGTTGAAAATAAGATGATATAAATTCACAGCAAATATGCATTGATGTGAATTCTGACACGTATGATGAAATAGGCAAAAGTACCGTTAAGGGTTGGTATTGAATCTCACTATATCTGTGATAGATAGTCGTCATCATAATTGTCTGTCTGAAAGAGCAGACAACAGCTAAATATCATCCCTTATTTCTAGAGGTGAAGGCAACGTGTTGGTATGAAGTGGCAGCCAGGGATGTGTTCTGAAGCACAGAGGCGGTGTCTAATTGTACATCCCTCCTGGAGACTTACAACTGCCTTCTGTTTATTGCAGGCCTAAATAACCATGAGCCACCGGTTGCTTCTGTTGTACGCAAGTGTCAGTTGTCTGGTGTCTCCTGTGGTGCTAAACTCTGGGAGGAATATTCTATTTCATCATCATTAAAACAATAAGTAGAAAAGTCATCTGCTGTTTGTGGGACAAATGAGCACGACAGCTATCGTCTATTTATCTTGAATGAGGGGATGGCTCTTGCACAGGTTTGTTCAGCCATGAAATTGCCATCCAAAACACGAGGCGTTTGTAAGATTGAATTATTTGAGCAACTTGTTCCACTGCCAGGTGAATCTCACTGCAGAAGTGAGGGACTGATCTGACAGAAGCTGGGCTATGCAGAGGAGAAAATACAGAAACACCAAAGAAACAGAGGCACCAAAGAAAAGTACACAGAGAAGGAAATGGATGGATGTTTTGCGTTGCTCCATCAGAATATGATTACAGAGAGAGAAAAGGAAACACCTCAAGGGAAAATTAAATACATCATAATCATACCTAGAGTAATTTTAGGTGAAAGAGTGGGGAGTATTCAGCTGATCATCTCAGGTGCCTGGATCGGGGTTAACAGTTGTAACACACTGAGGAATCTTTGCCCAGAAAGCTTCTTGACTTTGCTTTCTTTACTATAAAAAAGACTAGATGCAGGCTGTTTCTTACGTTTCTCCCAATTCATGCTATCCATCTGGAATTTGTTTTTCCACAGAGAAACCATTTCCTCATGTACTCTAATGGCTTCCAAACCCTTTTCACTGTGTAACCCCTCTCCACCTCCTCTACCTCAAGAACACTCTTAGAAAAGACTCGTGTCATCGAAAGAAGCAGCTTCAATTGTGAACTTCTAATTCCTTCTTTTAGCAAAAATAATTGATACTGGCATTCTAAGTGGTTTTTGTTCTGGTTTTGTTCCATAATACACACAGGTAAAGTTGCTCTGACATGGGTTTTAAAATTTACAGCTGCATCAGATTTGTATTTCTTCCATGTAGTGTGTGCATGAGAGTTGAACCACCTGGTGTTTGTGTGTCTTAAGCTGTCAGTGCAGACAACCCAGTTACTCTTGAATTACACACAGCAGCTGCTATTGGTTAGTCTGATTTTTGGATAAGCTGCACAAAGTCGTAATTATTATATGTAATTCTTAGCATGCTGTACAACAGAACGAGCTGACATTCATTCCCTTGTTTAGAAACGTAATCCTTACTCTTACAGTACACTGTCAACCTTTTCTTTAGGACTAGGACACATTTATGCTTCCAAGACCTCACGTTTTGCAGTCACAGAACCCTTCAGTCAGGATCATGCACCAAGTTGCAAATCTCTCCTGGTCCAGGCACAGCAGAGATCTCTAAGTGTTTTGCTGCAGGAAAAGGGACTTTGCTTGATGCTGTGTCCCTCTGTCACAGCTTTAAGCTCATCACAGACGGATACTTAATTGCTGCCCACAAAAGTAATTGTAGCTTGCCTGGCCATAAAGAGCAATAGTATTTTGAAGTAACAGAGGTATACTGAGTGCAAGAGTAAATTACTCTGGCACAAAATAGCAGGCAGTTGACCTATCACTACATGACTGCAGAACAGTGTGAAGATCATCAGCTCTTCTGTTTTTGACACAGAAGTAAAGCCCGTTTTTAATCCAACTTTTAATTTCAGGGAGCAACAGGTGAATGTTAAGCGGTACCAAAATAAGGATTCTATATGCCTGGTTCTCCCCTTTATTAACTAGAAGAAAGCCAGAAGGGACTGGAGAAATGTAACTGTTAACCAATAACATTAGTAGCATATTTGACTTCAGTCACCCTGAAATTGCTCTTTTTGTAATGGTTAACTGCCCTGTCGTAACTTCACAGCAGGAGGGTAATTTCCCCATCATAGGAGGCACGATAAAAAGAATGAAAAAATTCCTGCCAGCACCTGTGTTGAAATCTACTTGAAAAAAAAATGATCATCACCGTACTCTAAACAGTTCCTGGCAGGAAGTCTAAAGCAGTTTTGCTCTTGCAAAAACTACTGGGGAAAAGGAGATGATGTTAAAGGAATTCAGATTGAATCGAAGGCATTTTCTTTTTATCTTCTGCCAAGTTTTACGGTTCCTTGTATCCAAGATGTGGCAAAGGTCTGGGGGAGCTGAACTCTTTGCATTTCATTATGCAGTTTCCTGGACAAAGCAAAGCAGACAGCGTTAGAAAGCACAGCGGAAAGTCACACATGCCTGAGGTGTTTTCAAGAAAAGAAAAATAATCTGTGGTTATCCAGAGAGTTATCCAGAGAGAACTGCAGGTTTGGATGCTCGGTGCATCCAGCACTGCTCAGTGGCATTAGCTCTTGCAATAGAGCTCTTATTCTTAAGAGAACACATTACATCTGAATTGTTCAGCTGAAGAATGATCAGAGTATTGAAAAGCTTTTAAATACTTCCAGAATGCAAATAGCTAAATTAATTTACTCAGTTACTAAATGAGTGCAATATAATTTTGTGCTACTTTCCTATTTTGACCATTCAAAATGGTAGGATGGGAGAAAAGCACCCAAACAGTAAAAGTAATGTTCACATATCATCTCATAAAGACGTTCAGAGGGCATCATGTGAGTAGGTACATAAAAATAAACAAAGAAACTAATAAGCTGACTGTGTATAGATACAAAAAGCCTGGGTCATCCAAAAGCTTGATTTTTGATATCAATAATCTTCATCTTTTCCTTCCTTCCTTCCTTCCTTCCTTCCTTCCTTCCTTCCTTCCTTCCTTCCTTCCTTCCTTCCTTCCTTCCTTCCTTCCTTCCTTCCTTCCTTCCTCTCTTCCTCTCTTCCTCTCTTCCTCTCTTCCTCTCTTCCTTCCTTCCTTCCTTCCTTCCTCTCTTCCTTCCTTCCTCTCTTCCATCCTTCCCTTCCCTCCCTCCCCTCCCCATCAAAATCATGACCAAACTTCATTTCTGAATTGCAGCCAACTTAAGCAGCATAGTGAGACAAGCATTCACTTTTCAGATGGGACTTTATAGTAAGAAGGGAAGTAAGAATGGAACAAATGTGGTAGATACGAGTTTTCAGTGTTTTGTTTGCTTTGTACACAGACCATCCTAGGCAGACAAGAGGTTCTCTCTGCCCTGTGTCCTCACGTCCCTCTCCCTGCCTCTGGGCACCGATTTTCTGCTTTCTCCTTTGCCCAGCCACTGCCTGATGAATAATTCAGAAGGATTTGTGCTCGCTGCACGCCCGTCCTGCGCTTTAGTGGTGTTGACTCTGGGCTCTGTCTGCTCTCACCGAAGAGGCTGTCGTCTGGCCGAGCAGAGAGAATGGCAGACGCAGGATGAAGTTCCCGAAGGGAGCAGGCGTTTCGTGATGGCAAAGCCACGGGACAAAAAGACCTCAGAAGGCCATGGGGATACTCCCAGCCCTTTGGGATACACCTCCGTGCAGCGTGTCACCATCTGCACGAACCTCCCCGAGCACCAGCGTGGCAAGATCTGGTTTCCTAGGAGGAGCCGCTCCAGGGGAGGCTGAGCAGAGCCTTGCTGGGAGCCCGCAGGACGCTGCGATCCCTCCCCGCCTTTGCCTGTGGGAGGTGGGCCCTGGTGCCGGGTCCTGCTGCGTGCTCCCCCCGGCAGGCAGTTCTCAGCGGTGCTCAGGCAGCGACCTTCCTCCGGGCAGACAAGTGCAAGCAGTGCCCCGGGCGGCTTTGGCTACGCAGAGCACCGAGCATGACTAATCCCGGCACCAAGGGCTCGTTCCTCTCGCAGCCGATGGTGAAGAGCGTGCTTGTCTATCGCAACGGGGATCCTTTCTTTCCGGGACGTCGTATTGTCATCAACGAGAAGAAAGTGTCCAACTTTGAAGTCTTTTTGAAAGAGGTGACCGGTGGGGTGAAGGCACCTTTTGGAGCTGTGCGTAACATCTATACGCCTCGGGCTGGGCACCGTGTCCGGCAGCTGGAGGAGCTGCAGAGTGGAGAGCAGTATGTGGCTGGTGGCAGGGAAGCCTTCAAGAAACTGAAGTGAGTGGCTGAAAAGTAACTTAGCATTTATACCCAACCTGAATATCAGCATTGCAGACCCCTCTCCCCTTCTCCTGCCACCCCTTATTAGCCGTTGTTCCAAAACAGACTGGAAGAAGGTATTTGTGACAGAAAATACTGCAAAAGAGCTTCAGAGGTGAACGGTAGAACAGCTGCAGTTTTCATCAGTCACGCAGTGGCATCTCCCTGACACAGCAGTAGAAACGGAGAAGCAGTCCTTTAACCCTCAGGACATGCTGCATCAGCACGGTGTGATGGATGTGCTTTGCTGAGGGACAAGTGTCTGTGTTTGTGATGGGTGATGTTAGGAAGGAAGCTCCAGAAAAGAGGAGTGTTGACAGAACTGTGGTGACAGCCTTGTTGGGAATTTAAATACCAGCATTTCCTTTCTTGCTTGTTTTTAAAAGGTCTCATTCTATTCACATCTCCATCCATTCTATTCATATGGGGTAAGCACATAGCCTTTTTCTGGACAGAATAACCAAATCTCTGCTGCCATTTAAAAGATGACTGCTCTTTTTTTTTTCCTCTGCTGGGGCACCAAGAATTAGGCTGACATTTTAGCTGTTTTTGACTGGAAACCTAAGCTTTTATGTGCACTTTCTGAGTAGAACCACGAGGTTCTTAATTCTGGCAATGAATTCCACTGTTTCAACTGCCTAATTATATGCTTTGTTCAGTCTCTGTGGGCATTAATCCTTACAGCTGACTTGAAAAATATCTCAGAATTAACAGCCCCTTTCTTTGAGTGGTTGGGAATTCCTATGATAAACTACCTGCTTCGTGGACCTTTGCTTGTCTTGATTCAGGTACCACTGAGGAATCTGCATTTTTCAGGAGAGCTTGGTGTTTCAAAATGAAGCTCTGTGTTTAATGAACAGGGTTTCTTTCAGCACACAATTTTTGTCACCATCTGCTTCAAGAGGTTTATTGATATTTCTTGTGCTTCAGTGGCAAAGCAAGAGAGGAAGATGTATGGCAGGCCAAATGGAAGTCAATTTTCCATGTCAAATATATTGCTGCACACTCAAGAAAGAGCTATCATGTCTTTTGGTATTAAATTCTGTGGTCCCGTGAGTGGCTTAACGTTGTTGATTGTCAGCACATCTTGTTTCACCTTCCCATATGTGTTGTGCTTTCCACAAGCTAAAAGAAAGTAACTGTTTTCTTTAGCATGCGCTGCATAGAGGATCGGGTGCCTCAGGTTGAGTTTTGGTGTAAAAAGGCTTTTATTTTTGTTATTTCATTTTTCATGATTAGTGGCGAGAGTTTTCAGACTTCTGTGGTTGCAACACGTAACAGGATACCTAAATATTTGAGGTCAACAAAGAGAATACTTCCAGAAAAGGTGACCTAAAGCACTCAGTAAAAGCAGGCTGTGCTGTATGTATATCCCTTGAGAGTATGCTGTGCTTCCTGTGGGAAGGATGGTCTGGATGACCATTCCATTTCCTTGTTCACTACTGTTTTGTGTTGATATAGTGCTGTAAAAGCAGGCAGTGGTTTTACAAGCATATTTAAGGCAGGCTGGAGGGGTTTGGTTCTTAACTAGTTTGTAGACAGAAGTGTAATTAGAGGGACTGCTTAGCCAGGCAGGTCAGAGGAGAGGGGAGTCAATTGGAAAGGATGTTCTGGAAGAAACTGAGAGAATTAGAGAACAGAGCGTGTTTGTGTTTGTCTTGTGGGCAAAGATAAAGCAATTGCAGCTGTGGGAGACAAAACTTCTGTCGTAAGGGATCTGACTCTGGTCTTACAGCAGCAAGAACTATGGAAATTTTTAACTGTTCATTTTTTTCCTTTGCGGTGATGCTTGCTGGCTTAATTCATCGTCACAATAGACTAAGCAGGGCTGAACTTTGAAATAAAGATTTGTGGGGCAGCTGTGTGCAGGTGTGAAAGTAACCAAGGAAAGCAGGAACTGGAAGTGTCAGCACTCAGCTTCAAGTGGCACCTCTGTTACTCCACAGATGCCTAATAACGAGATCCAAATCTTTCTTCCCTATCTTCAGTGATTAGCTTAACTGCTTTCACCTTTAGCACATGAACTTCTGCCATTCCAAGCCTGGAATTGTAACATCTTGAAATACATTATTCTGGAGTGTCTCATTCTACAGCAGCAACAGCAATGGGAGCTAGAAACAACGTGAGGTCCTGCAGCTCCTGTGAGCTGCATTCATGAGAAAAGGCCAGCTCATGAGGCTTTTGCAGAGCTGGACTGGAGCTGGTGCAGTCTGGGTGCCTGGGTAACTGTTCAACCAGTTTAAGGGTTACACCTGCTTGGAGACTTACTTAATTCCTTTTCTTTGGAAAGGCAACATATGGCTAGGCTACCACTGTGTGTTTTAATTGATGCTTTTGTGATAATGCAGCAGGGAATACGGCAGCAGAGTGCAGTGATGTTCGAATGTTTGTGGATTTGTTTTGTCCTTGGATTTTGTTTATTAATAACTGTGAAGATACTCTTACTGTGTCATGATAAGTCAGGATAAAATGTTTCCAGGTGTGTCCGAGACCAGTTGAAACTCAAGTTGTGTAGAGCCTTATAAATTAGCACTGGTTAAACTTGAGTGTGGAGAGACTTTAAACGTGTCAGAATTTATTGTGAGAAACTAGGAGGCAAGGTGGTAACCTAGAAAACTCTGCTAAACTAATACTGTGCTGATATTTATTGATGTTATTATTTATCCATCTTTCCAACAAGTTGGTTATTGATGGTCTGTAGTTAGATGACTAACTTGACTTGAAGTTAGATGAATAGTTCTGCCTTACATTTTGCATTCACCCAGGGGGCTAGCTTGTAGATTTATGTTAATGGTCCTTCATTAAAATCTTGACTTAGTTACTATTTCTATTACTTTGAGGCATGGTAAACAAAAGTGTGAAATATCTGTCTTCTGTAAGTTAGATGCTTCTGTAAATAATCGGTGCTGATTTTCTTCCGCAGCTATTTGGACATAGGGGAAACAAAGAAAAAGCCTGCTGAAGTCAACAGTGAGGTAGGTTGTCTGAAACACTTCAGAAGTAAACCTGCAGTTAGTTATTAGTGACGTGTCTGAGTTTTTAAGATGTATGTATTATGTTCAGAAACAGCACGCTTATCCAGCATTCTGAACATAATGTTTCAATGATAATGACTCTGATTGCTCTGAACGTGGTGAACTGAACTGATGGTCTTCCATCCTGCTTTCTGAACTGCCGTATCCACTCCTAAACTATCAGGAAAGAAAATTGCATAGTATCATTACTGGTCTTCAATCAGAAGAAGATGTTGGTACTGTGAACTTCCAGAATTTTGGACAAGAAAATTTTCTTCCAAGCATTATGTTTTCTCTAGAAAAGAGACTTTTTGGTTTGAAAAATCACATTGAGTTGAAATGATTTTTCCAGTGACTTCTAATGAGTTCTAGCCCAGTGTCTTCCAAATTCACCTTTTTCTTTTGAACAGTTACGCTATTCACACAACTGCAGGCTTCCAAAAACTGAACATGTGATTTTTTGAGGCATGTGGCTCTGTATTTCATATTTTACTTTTTAGTTCTGTATATGGATAGCAGTGATCCACAACACTTGAATTTCAGCTTTTGCCTGACAAGAAGCATCAGCTCACAAATGTTTCCATTTCTTCTGTCTTGCCAAATTTCTAGCAATTCAATGATCTGCATAGCAGATGTCTTGAGACACCTTGTGCTAGAAGCCCTTCAGAAAAGAAGGTGTATTGCCACAGTGATATTTGCTGTGGTATTTTGACACATCTTATTCAGAAGCAGTGAAATACAATACACGCATTTTATAAATTATTGTATCTTTGTAAGCCATCTTTGCTTGCAATTTTCCTTTTTTTCTTTTTTTGTTCATAGTCAACAGGAAGATCAAATTCAACAGGAGGTCAGAGGTTTGATTTACAAGCGCCACATAAATTTGCTCTTAGCTGGATTTTTTTTTGTTCCTCAGTTTGTTTATGCATGCAATTAACCAGAACACTGTAGAGGAAGCTCTGTTGCTTTTGTGCCATTATTTGTGTCTCCTCGTTGTTAAGGTATTTAACAAAGAAAATAGATCAATTAAAACGAATAAGGAAAAAATAATTAAAACACTGATGAGTCAGGAAGGCATATGAGTCAGGTACAGTTGCTGAGCTGTATATAAAAACAAGTAATATGTCCACACCTTTGCTCTTTCTAAGCTTTCTGGTATCTTTTGTCCATAAATTCCATTTTCACTACAGCATTTCCTTATTTCAGTCCTGAGTCTCTTTTGATCAACCTTTGTGAATCTTGCTGAAAGTATTCACTCGTCGCAAGGCAGACAGAATCAAATAATTAATCTCAACTTTAGCTGTGATCTTTGTAACAGATCATATTATTTTTTCCCAGAGAGGAAAGGTCTTTACGACAACAGTATTGAACTCATCTGAACCTTTAACACATAAAAATATTTCTGGACATAAAATTAAAAAACAAAACAACCCAACCAACCATTGGATTTGTGACCAGTCCTTGCTAATTTTCTTCTGAACCAAATGTGTGAACAATACCATAGTTTGTGTAAAACAGTGTCTAGATGAAAATCATTCTTACATGTCCAGGCTGAAAAGAAGATAATTTGAGAAAACTGCTTCTGATTGTCTCTGAGATTGTGGTGGATTGCATTCAATGCCATTGGCATTGTGACTGACTTCAAGTGTCCCTGGGTGAGAAAGCAGTTGTCTCCACAGAAGCCTCTTAACCAAGTTCTGATATTAGAATCAGTTAGCAGGACAACCACAAGACTGCCATATTAAGGCTTGTTTTAAAGCTGATGAATTTGCTGCCAATCCTTAAAAGATTCTCGATACAACAGAAATTCTAAGCACTTGGAGAAACGTTTGCAGAAGTTGTTCCTTCTATTTGCAGTTGCACGTTTGATGAGAGAGGCTTCTTTTACTTTTGTATTCAGTGCTCACTGTACATTATCTGAGCACTTCCAGCCATCTTGAGGAAAACCAGTATAAACCATCTCCATGTTAGGTTTAACTTTCTGTTATTGATTTACTTGAGGAGTCCTAAAAATGAAATGAAACCTGGTAAGGTTTTACAGATTTTTATCTGGACTTATGAATAACACCATTATTTTGGGGCCCTAATCATTTAATCCTAGAAATGAACTTTCGGGGGCCAGTAACTGAAGTTTTAATGCCTTAAATAGATTTATGCTAAAATGATTTGAGGAAGCAAGTTCTGTTTGCACATCTTTTTTTCAAACATTCATTTTGAAATCAAAAATGTGTCTGTGTTTTAGCACGAAGACCAGCAGAAGTAGTGCTACGTTTTCCTTTTGATTCTGCTGCATTTGCATCAGCAACCAAATAAATCATGTTTTTCCATGAAGCTTTGTAAGAACCTTTGATATAAGCCCACAAAAAGGTTTTGCTTTCAAAAGGCAGTATTTTAGATATTCTACATATATTCTACATATATGCAAATTATGAGAAAAATTTTTAGCTCCAGCCTGCAAGAACAGTAAAATGAAACTTTCAAAAGGTGAGTTGTTTCAATGACTTCAGTAGGAAGGACTGCTTTGAAAGTATGCATGCATGGAGAAATCTGTGGTCAGGTCTGAGTTGTAGAGTTCTGGTGGGCTAAGAGAATGGGGCAGCAGGAAAGCTTGCTGATAGCCTCACACATAACTCCAGGCTAAAATCAGGGTATGTTTTTAGGCTGATCTTTGTCAGGACAATTCCTGTTCTCTTTGCCCTAGTGCTGAAATATTAAATGATTATCCTTCATCATCTCCACCTCTTATTTTGCTTCTCTCTGTTTTTTATAACATGGAATTTGTCAAGCCTCTTGCACTAGTGCTCTGGACCATAGGCCGTTAATGTGATCTCAGTAATAATGCTTTTTCTGTGAGATTTGAGACTGCAATGACTATTGATAAAGCCTGCTCTTGGGGATTGCCTACCACCCTTCTCACCTGTTCATGTCCCACAGGAATCTGGTTTTCCTCTGAGCACAACCTCAAGGGTGAGCAATCAGGAAAGAAAAGCCTTTGTTCTGTGTTATTCCTGAATGCAGTGCATCCATAATTGAGGCAGGAGCTTTGCTGGTATTGTTGCCCCCAGGAGGAGATGGTCTTGAATCTATTAGCACTGGTTTTATTATACAACTTAAACTTATAAAGGACAGATGTCAAGATGATGGGGCCAGACTTTTTTCAGTAGCACTGCAGAGATAGGACAAGGGGCAATGGGAACAAACTGGAACACAAGAAGTTCCATCTGAATATGAGAAACAGCCCTGCAGAGAAGGGCCTGGGGATCCTGATGGATGAAAAACTTAACATGAGCCAGCAGGGTGCTCTTGCAGCTCAGAAAGCAAATGGTATCCTGGGCTCCATCAGCAGAGGGGTGGCCAGCAGGGACAGGGAGGTGATTGTCCCTCTCTACTCTGTCCTTGTGAGGCCCCATCTGGAGCTTTGTGTCCAGGTTTGGAGTCCCCAGTACAAGAAAGACAGAGAGCTGTTGGAGAGGGTCCAGAGGAGAGCCATGAAGATGATCAGGGGACTGGAGCACGTCTCCTACAAAGACAGGCTGAGGGAGCTGGGCTTGTTCAGCCTGGAGAAAAGAAGGCTGCAGGGTGACCTCATTGCAGCCTTTCAGTACCCAAAGGGAGCCTACAAACAGGAGGGGAATCAACTCTTTGAAAGGGTAGATAACTGCAGGACAAGGGGAAATGGTTTTAAGTTGAAGGAGGGAAGATTTAGGTTAAATGTCAGGGGGAAATTCTTTACAGAGAGAGTGGTGAGTTGCTGGAACAGCTTCTCAGAGAGGTTGTGGATGCCCCATCCCTAGAGGTGCTCAAGGCCAGACTGAATGGGCCCCTGGGCAACCTGGTGTGGTATGAAATGTGGAGGTTGGCGGCCCTGCATGTGGCAGGGGGTTGGAGATTCATGACCCTTGAGGTCACTTCCAACCTGGGCTATTCTGTGATTCTGTGAAACAACTTATTTGAGAGTGACAGAGCACTGGTACAAGCTGCCCAGAGAGACTGTTGAGTCTCCTCTGGATATATTCAGAATCTGCCTGAACACTTTTTTGTGCAGGCTACTCTAGGAAATCTGCTTTAGCAGTGAGCTTGGACCAGATGATCTCCAGAGGTCCCTTCCCACTCTACAATTCTGTGATTCTGTGGCTTTCTCTGTATCAGATTTTAGAAATACGTTGACCCTGGCCTGGTGCTGAAGACAGTCAGATTTCTGTACATACATTATGTTGTTTACCAAGGATTTGGAAGATGAAAAAAGATGGCAGAGAAACACTGTTTGTGAAATTCATGGTCAATGGTTAAGGATGCAATCACTATGCCTATAGGCAAGGGGATGAATTCTGGTGGTATGCAGCACGCTTTGACATTGCCTACCTGATAAGTAGGATTTTGTAGGTTTTCCTCCAGTAAACAATTACAGATATTTATTTCCAAATCTGGTTAGTGAAGAGGAAGGCAAAAGGAATAAAGGCATGCTTATGTTGTGTATTCATAGGCAGCTGTAAATCTTTATTTGTATTATGTAAGCTGCCAAATGTTTGACATCTGTTCTTGCAAACATTTTAATGTTGTTCTTTGAAGGCAGCATTTCAATTACTTTAGATTTGTATATAAGTAGAAAATGTGTCAAAATGGAATTAAACAAGAGAGAAATCTTGTTCAAGATACAATATAAATACTGTGACCTATATTCAGGAAGAAAAATAGACGAAAAATACAAAGCATTAATTTCTTACTGAACTGTCTTCTCACTTCTCTCAGGGAGTGACAGAATATAGTACGTCTCTATCAGGAATAGGCTCCTCTACAACAGTCTGTAACTGTGAGCCTGAGCTTCCAAGGAAGGTGTTCCTCAGGAAAAATAATAATTAAAAAAAAAAAACCAACATCAGCAACAATAAATGAAGTAATCTTCTTTACCTTATGTATTCCAAAATCTTATTTAAAGAAATACCTTAGTGTCCTTTCTTATA